GGCTATTAAAGGAGAGGAAAAACCTCAGTGGTTACCATAACAAAGACACTTCCTTCACTGTTTTTTCCATTCAAGTCATACATAATACAATGAAGTTGGTTTGTTTTTTTCGTTAGTCTACACACAACATTCAACTCCCACATTACCCTCTTTCTCTGAAAGACTCCGTGCATATACACAGCTGCTGCTTCATCACTATGTCTAACAAGCAAGTTGCAAGAAGGAAGCTCTATGTCAGAAGTAGGAAAAAACAGAAGCCTGAGAAAATGGCCTAGAGAAGATTAATTAGAGACAGAATAAGAAACTGGTTTTTGCTACCTGCCATTGCCAGTCTGCATGAGATACTATCAAATTGCCCTAGAAATTAACTCATCTTCTGCAGTTTTTAAGTTAAAGAAACACTAGAACACAACTTTTGCTGGAATAATGAAATCATTGAAATAATATTGAACCCACTCCCCGTAAAACAGCATTTTATACAGGAATGCTGACAACCAAAACGTAGCTACTTCTATCAGCTGCTTAACAGAGCAGCACTCAGTACATTCTTGTCATGTACACACCCACGCACAAAACACCAAGTGGATAAAACAGAAAAAACTACTGTGGGCAAAATGAATCAAACCAAGAAGCAGAGCAGACCCCTTTGTTTTCTCTGAAGTGATACTTCATTCAGAAAAAGATCACACTGGATTTAGCTGTTACACTGATGTTCAGATCAGCAATTGCATTTGAGAAGAATGGAAAGAAAACCCTGGAGAACCAAGTGGGAGACAACAGAGCTTGCACTCCTTAGGACTGTATCAGTGCAGGCAGAAAAATCTACAATTATTCTTGCAAACAGAAAAATCCACGGGAATAATAATTTAAAAAAAAACCCACAACAAAGAAACCAAACCCACACCCACTCACACAACGTACTTATTTTAATCCCTCATTTCCCAGGTCACAACAGCTGAGGCTGTTTTAATCAAGAGACAGCTCTGCCTGGATAGCCTAGAGATTTCTCTTTATAACTGTACTCCCCACTCCATTTAGATGGGGAAGAAAACAGCTATGACTCAAAGCTGTACCTTAAGAGGAAGCTGACTATTGCATTCCTCATTGCCCACAACTCTAGGAGGTTGAAGACGTTTTTCAAGAGACCATTTCCCCTGAGGTACATGAAATTCTATTTGGAAAAAAAAATAATCCATGCAGTCTTGTGTACGCCTTCCCATAAAGGCGATCCTCTAGATATCTGCCTCAAAGAAATTTGCAAACAGTTGCATTGTTTCAGCAAGGGAGAAGAGTTTTGTACCACAGGGATGCGGATTTCTTACAGAAAGAGAATCACAATTATTTCAGCCTTTTTTTCTGGTACTGAAAAAACAAAAATTCCTGGCTCTGATAAAGCTTGGCAGTGCTCACTCTCTTCTAATAAGCAAACTCAGATTCACTGAATGTTTCTGTACTAAGAATAATACTGTGTTCAAAAGGTTTTCACATGCACCACACTAAGCACTCTACTTCACAAATCTGAATTGGAATCAGATTCCTGTGGAAATTATATTGGTATCCAAAGCTCAGAGCTATGTTTTTATTAGAGAAGTAGGTGCTTCCCAGCCTTGTCAAATGAGACTGTGACACAGCCATTGAGTAAGATAATTAAGGCTGAACACCTCTTCAGTTGCTATCTGTACATTCTCAGCAACCTCTGAGAGTAGAAACAGCATCCAATTGTGGGAGAAGGCACTGAAACTAGCAACACACACATGCAACAAGACAGAAGGTGGGTTTTGATCTTGTGGTCAGGAAGTTCTTTGGAAAGAGTACGGAACACAAAGCCTGGTCCAACTGAGAACTGAAGTAGTAACATGGGGACAGAGGGCAAGTCCCGGTACTCACATGAACAGCAACAGCCACCGATACCATGTTTCCTTACATATGTGATTGACAGCCACATCACAGACCTTTCACAAAAACCAACAGTTAGTTTGCATGCTTGTACAGTACAATTTTAGATGACTGCTTTTAGGAAAAGCGATGGATCCATCATTTACACAAACAATGAGACGTGAAGAAACTCAAAGGGACAACTTTTCCAGCCATTGTCACTGAAGGACATACTTTGAGCACAGTGACCCACCTGGTAATTCTCTGCAAACAGACTGTTTGGCCTTTGGATGAACCAAAGTGAAGAGACACACAAAATGCAGAAAGCAGTTTCCTTTCTCCTGTCAAAATGCATCCTCAGGAAAAAAATTGATAACTGGTAACAATAAAACCCCTAGATTTACCCTAAGAAATTCAACACAGTCATTATAAACTGACCTCTTCTTGGCATGGTATCCAGAATGTGGGTGCCATTATACAAGCACAGGCAGTTTTGCCTGGGCTGTTAGGCAGCACAGCTCCTAAAATGTGTGTCACCTCCGAAGAACTTCGGCAGTTATGCATTGAGACCCCAATAAACTTCAGTTTTCTTCCATGAAGAGTAAGAAGTAACGATGAATAGGTCCAGCCATTTTCACTTTTCCTGCCTTTGGAGAGGAGCACGAGCGAGTGGAGGACTTACATGCACAGATGCCAGCTTGACAGATATTAAATCAAAAGAAAAGTTCTCTTCTCATTCATAGCATGTGTGCATCTACTCTGGATTCCAGTGCTGACATACATTCAGAAACATGACTCCAACATAGAATAAAGTGAGTCCCACAACACAACTGGGTCTAAAACTTGAGGGCTATATTGACACTTTAAAGGGGAAAAAATAAACTGAAGAAAGACTTAATATGATTTATTTTCCTTTATAATCTAAACTAATTTGTATATCCTAGTTTATATACTATCTATCACTTTAATCCTCTGATACACTGCTTTAAAAGAGACCCAGGCTCCAGCAGTCCCTTCTTACCTAACTATTTTCGTACCCATCTCACATGAAGTATTTTGGTATTGTTTCTCTGACAAACCCGGGGTACACTGACTTTTCCTTCAAATCTTCATTTAATCTCAGGGAAGTATCTCACAAACTTTTCAATGTACAACTCTCAAACCAACCCAGAACTGCATTTATTGTTTTAAGTAGTAATCTTTGCAGCACCAATTTGACAACAGCAGCCCTGCCTTTGCTCATTTTCCAAGTTATTTCCTTCATCACACAATGCATCTTGGTTCTAATTTACCGACTGTACATCTTAAATGTTCTTATTCACCAACAAACTTACTCATGCTCACTTTAAAATACAGAAATGTGTGTTGCTAATTCTGTCAAAATTAATGCTATACTAAACAGAATTACTTGAGAAGAATAATACATCATAAACTTTTCTTTTTTCCTAGTCTTAGCCTAAATGAGCCAGGTTTTGTGCAGTTGACTTTTTGGAAGCAGGATACTTTTCCCTGGTGAAGATAAAGAGGTCAAATGAAGTTTTCCAGAATGACCAAACACACGCCAAGAGCATTTGGGTTTAGCTCCCATTATTAACACACCCCCTCCCAAGTAATTATTTAAATACGAAATAAACATAAACATTTTAGAAGTATTAGCAAATAAATGACTGTAGACTACATAGATGTGGAACAGGTAAGGATTCCTATCAAATTGCTAACCACAGTTAGTACCAGATACTATTGGGAAGATAAAAAGAAGTTTTTACTGGAGAGACGTCCACCATGTGCCAAAGTTTCTTTTCACTTAACTTTCCAAATCCTTTGGAAATCAGGAGCAATGCCTACCTGTAACAGAAAACAGATTCCAGTGACAGAGCCACGAAAAACAATTTGCTGGATGCTTTTGTTGCAGTCTAGAGGCTGCAACACGGACCTGCAGGCTGTACTCATCCTGTCCAGCTTTAACAGAACACTTGATTTCTGCTGACTTTAGCTCTTAAGATGTATTTTCACAGTGAAATAGATATTTCAAAGTTTACTTTTGTTCCAGACCTGCAGCAGAGCCTGTGGGCCCAAAAGGCAGCCTGTTTCCCTAAATCAAATGATGTGGCTGTGGGAAGTGAGAGATAATACCTCTTCTTATAAATGGTCTCACTTATGTACCTAGCGGGATTTTCAAAAGATTCAAGAAATTTATCCTGTGTCTATCAAGTAATTTGGGAAAGCTAAAAGAAAAACAGATTAAAAAGAAAAACAACAAAAAACCAAACAAAAACCCCCCCAAAACCAAAAAACAAACACGCACACACACAGTCCCAACAGTGTCAGAGTAAAGATTAAGTTAAATAGGAATTCAGTTTAAATTAAGTGAAGAAGTCTCAGTAACTTTAGTAATGGTATGATTCCATCCCTCCCCCCCTCCACACACACACACACACACTCCCCCCAGTAAAGCCAATTAAGTAGGAACTAAGCCTTTCTTCCTACCACATCACTAAGGCAATGGTGCTGCTAGTTCCCAAATACGCTGCTCATAGACTGTACTGGCCAACAAACAATTACATCATTCCTGAATTAAAGAAATTACCAGAAGCAGTTTTGCATAAGCACTATTTTCTTTCAAAGCACAATGGAAAGCTGGCACATACTGCGTTTACCAGAACTGTAATCTGATTTAAGCACAGGTTTATTTAAAAAAATATTCAGCTCTCACCTATAGGCTATTCCGGAACCCTGTGAATCAGCAGATAGTTACTGTTTATCGGAAAGCTTCCTTCTTTATGTCCCCTTTACCTCCTCTCAGTGCTCTGCAGAAAGCATGAAAAGAACTACAACATCAGCCTTCGCTATAGATATCTGTCTACAACTTCCCAGAATCCAGAACATGAGGTATTCAGGATGCAAAATTGAATTTTTATATATAGACCTCTAATAAATCAAATATTCTACAAATCACAGAAAATTTAAATAGCAGCCATATAACAGACACCTTCTTTCAGGTATTTATAATAATATCATGTCACGAGTTTAGGTATGCTTTTTAGCTTGGTCCTCTTCTAAATACTCATTGGTTTTAAAGCATCTCAAATAACCAGATGTTTAAAGGAAATGAGACACTACACAGGTTAAACAACATGGTTCTATTAAAAACTATCTTTAACCATGGCACTCAGTGACAGCATACAATACTTTTTTCCACAAAGCAACTAATATAAAAATATGCCATAAAATCATCTGTAGACTAGTATGCTAATACATACATGTAATCATAACATTCTTTTATAAACTCTTTCCTGAGATACCTTGGGTTGTTTGATTTTCTTGTATTACTGGATGCATTATCTTTATGATTCATTTAAAACAATTGTAAAATATTTTGTATGTGCAGGACACTCAGTAACATGTAAAAAGTAGTATGTAAATATATGGCAAAGAAACAACTCTTAGAAATTATGCGCTTTTTTACTTTGTTACATTTTTTTAACATTTGGCTCCTTGGGAGATGGAAGGGAGGAGCATGAAAAACCTGAAATTAGAGCAATGAATTGACAAAAAGCAGGAAAGCATTTCAGGAATGTTAGGAGTTGGAATATAAGTGACACAAAGAGAAAGCCATAATTTATGTTGGCTATGTATTGCTTTATAAAGCAACTGGACATATTTTCGTCAGTTCACAGTATAATAAATATTTTTACTAATCTGTTTTGGAAGAGCAAATGTCTTTTAGGGTTTCAAGCTCCTCTATAAGTTTCTTGTTCTGAACTTCTAGCACTGCAACACGACTCTCCAGACATTTTATGTATTCTTTCTTCCGACGTCGACATTCTTTAGCAGCTTCCCTGCAAAAAGCAGAAGTAAAAAGTGCAAACAAAAAAGCCATTTGCATGCCATTAGAAAGCTCAGCAGAATATGGAGACTATGACAGAATTCCAAATTTTGGAATATCTCCCAAATGAGTCTGAAAACACTACGCAAAACTGGGTTCCAAAAGGGCCTCAAGTGTCTCTTTCAGGTTCACATGGCAATCTGTAGAATTGCTTCCTCTCATGCCTTGATTAAAGTTCATAATAAACGAGGTCCAAATGAAAGACAGTTATTCTGCTTTATGACAATAAAGATCTTTGAGGGCCTTGAGTTCCTCAATGAGAGTCTTGTTTTGGTTTTCAAGCACAGCCACACGATTTTCAAGACATTTGACATATTCCTTCTTCTTTCTGCGACATTCTCTGGCAGCTTCCCTGGAACCAATACAAGGCAAATGACTACAAGAACAGCCATGGTATGGCAAAGACTGGATAAATGAAATTACCTGCAATCCCTGCAGTTCCACAACAACAACCACCACCAACTACTGTTGGATTGCACAAACAGAACCGCAGATAACAGCAATAAGCAATAACATGGTCAAAATAAAATTCAAAACAACTAGAACTTGAAATAAATTCAGCATCAACAAATACAAAGACAGAATTAGTACACAGAGGAACTGAGAAAAACAGTGAGGAAATGATAACGTATTGACTTGAGTTGTACTAAACATTAAGACTGAAAGCAGCATTCCTTCTTCCAGTCACATTCTATTTTGTGCGTTTATCTTCTGCAATCAAAATCTTAAAACCAAATTCAAATAATTTACTTTCAGAAAATACAAGCATAATGCTACTCTCTTCAGATAAAAAGCTAGATGTCAAGCTTACAACCTGTTGTAATTTTTTTACCTTAAGGTAACGATCTACACTACAATTTAAGTCCAAACAAATGCTATTTATTAGCATTTTAGAACTGTCCAACTGGGTGCATTTCAGCCACATGCATCTGGGGTGTTTTTTGTTCCTAGCAAATGGCAGTCTGGAGCCATTCTCATAGCTCTGCTCAGAATTCTGTTCTATCGAAGCTAAACACTTTGTGTAGTATTTTCAGAAGCATGTGACTGAACCATTCCAGAAGAAATTTTAGAAGTACTGGGAGTCCACTCCTTTAATGTCTTGGAACATGACAAATTGTCAAATTGTGAGAGAGTAACTTTCCAGCGAGTTATATGAGAGATAGCATAGATGCTAGTTTTAAAACTGAAGAGAGAAGACAAGAGGAGGCATGCCAATGCAGCAATCCTCATGAGTAATTTAAAATAAAGGACAGGCATGAGAGCAAAGCAATACCCTGAATTCAATCATAAGGCAAGTAGCTATTCAATATATTAGAGATCTGCATAGCAGACTATTACTTCCATTAATCTAACTGCCATGGATACTGGTGGCTACGCATTTAAAAAAGAAAGAGTGCCCGAAGAATAGCAAGAAGAATGCACAAAGACTGGCATTTACAGCATACAATCAAGTACATGCCAACTAATTAAAAAATATACAGCCACCTCAGACAATATGCCTCACAAAATGACAGGGGCACTGTACAGTAACCTATTCCAGCAGCCAAGTATTTAGGAAAGTCTATAATTATCATTCCATCCTAGAGTAAGTCCTCTTCACAGCATCATTAATGGATAGCTGCTAATGAGATCCTCAGATATTTTCCAATTCTTTTCTGGGATGTTTGAAATCAAACAAACGCATACTGGTAATTTTACTGGCAGTAGCCTTGGGTGAGGGGGACAGGGTGGGCAGGGCCAGGGGAACTAAAAAAGAAAAAAAATTAAAATTCAACAAGTATATCTCCAGATCATCACAAAAATTATCAGAAAGGGACAAGACTAATGATTTCTGAATTACCATAATATTTCAAAACTAAAAATCTATGGTGATAAGGCCAACTCTAACTTTCCACAGTTAACAGCCAATACTCAATGCTGTAAGGACATGGGATGATTGATAAAGAATTTCTTGCCTTCCCTTCATACAATCACAGGCAGTGCTCATGCCCTTAAGAAGAAAACTTCATTAGAATGTTTTAGTGGGTTTTTTGCAACACTGGCTATTAATTGTTCCATAATCTTACCTATTTTTCATAAGTCTCAGCTCTCTCTTGCGTGTTGCCTCTTCTGCCAGTTGCTGAGGGCTATGCAACGTCCCTGGTGAGGCTGCCATTACCACTCCCTGAGGTAAGGTAGTAGTGGGAGTTCGAATCTGGTAAGCTGGCATGTCTCCAGTGGCAGCTGTACAAAAGAATCATATTTTAAACTTTATGGCAAAAAAAGAACTATGCAAAAGTCTCTGGAAGTAACAGGTTTCTGTTGATGAGTTATCCAGGATCCTTGCTACATAAAATATTTCACAGGTCTGTAATGCCACAACTGTATTTGTTATCTTACTAGCATTTATTTCCACAGCGTAAAATAAGTTATCTAAGTTGCTCTAGCATGTGGCCCCCACTAGCCAGCCACACTGAAGCCTGTGAAAGCTTCCACATGGCTCTTCTCTGACAACACAGGGAAAGCTGTGTGAGAAGCACTGTCAGAACATCCACATTTATTTTCTGTTTGCACAACCCCAGGAAAAGATGGTCCTGCTGTTGCAGCCACTGAGGTTTATATGCCACCCCTTGTCCTCTAACAGAGGCTTCAGGACTCAACTTGCTTCAGAAGTCAAGTTTCTTCTCCTTCCCTGTGATAGCAACAGAACCAGCCTTGGAAAACCAGTGAGAGCTGCTGTTGCCAAAATGAAAGGAACAGACAAGTGCTCATGGTGAACAGGAGTATGTTCCTTGAGCAAGAGGACCACAAATAGGATGCTGCAGCGTTAGTGAGCAAGAGGAGGTAGCGGTGGTTGCACAGGAAGGGGTGTAGCTTACACAGTAAATGAGAGTGCAAAAGTTCAGATTCAGCTCCTGAGCCTACCAGTTTTGAGCTCTCCCCAAGCTAAACACAGATCTGAAATCTGAGTCATTAGTTGGAACCAATACCTTTCTGATAGTCTTACCTAATTTCTGAGGTACTTTGTTTCTACATGATGTATCCCAACTTTAAAACACTGTGAAAGTCCTAAGTACCTCTGCCTTGCCTGACATAGGGGCGGAAAAAAATTAACAAAAAATTGTATCCCTCTTCAAAGTATAAACAAGCATTTACCTATTTCTTTCCATAAATATGTTATATATTCAAATTTTGTCATTAAAGCAACTGAATTGTACAAAAGATGAAATTTCAGGGGCTGTTATACTTTAATTCTTTAAAGCAATATTCAAAAAATGGAAAAACTTGGAAAAATAAAATGTAGACAAAAACACTTTGGGGAGGCTAACAGGTAGAGCTGTAGAGAGACATGAGTCTCTTTACCAAAACTTAAATAAAACCCCAAAACTTAATGAAAAAATTACTATTATTCTTATTAATTCAGGTGCTTCACTAATTAAATGCAAAAAATAGGATCAAGCTGCGTTTAGACTACATTTCTACAGCCATGTCCTGAAATTATTATCAGCTTAAACACTGTGCACCTCCCCCCTCTCTCGGTCCTGCTGGTAAAAGTGTTTGTGGAATTACAAGATGCAGTGGACCAGTGAACTGACCTGGGTTATGGATAATCCCCTGGGGATGGGGGAGGGAGAGAGAAATCAGCCTAGGACAGCCCTGTGAGCACTAACTGGCAGCCACCATGAACACAGGGCTTGGACTTCTGGTACATCTACAAGAGAATTACTTAACCCTTTCTAAGTTTTCCACATCTTGGCAGTCCCAGTATGTCACTGGGACAATGCTTCAGCTCACTGTTCATAAAAATGGAATTTTAGAAACTCTTCAGTCTCACCTTTATGCTGGCCATGTTACATACATTTTACAGACTTTATGGTAAGAACTGCCTTTTTCTATCTCTCATCACCAGGTTAAAAAAGAGATGTTATCTTTGTTTACATTAGCTACAGTAAGTTAGAAATCCAAGTGAGCCATTTTGTAGATCAAGTCATGGGGAAAGACCCGTAACCCAGGTCACCTTAGCCTGGCAAGGCCAACTACTTTGTTGTCTCTGTTTGATTTACTAATTTTGATTTACTGACTTAGCTAACGGGACTTACTCCTCCTGTTGTTAAGAGGACTCAGTGTGATAATGTACCTGCAACATGGCTTAACAAAAGTGAGTCCCAAAGTCAGCTGGGATCAGCTTGGGATTGTAAGTAGACTGTAAGATTGTAACACCACTGTAAGTAACAACATGCTGCATGAATAGTTTGAGCAAGTTCCAGTAGTGTCTGTCCCTGCCTAACCTACCAGCATGGTAACAGAGATAAATAACCATTTTGGTGGTATAGACATTGCAAACCCGGTCACAGCAGTTAAAAAAAAAAAAAAAAAGCATAGCATCGACAAAGCACCTTTTAGTTGTGCAGTAGCATGGTTTACAATATGTTATTGCAAATCAATTATTTTGAAGTCTGCAAAATTTTTTGTATAGTATCTCAAAAAGTTACAATAAAACACTGTTTCCCCCAAAAAAGACACTGGGAAAGATGAAACAGGCTTTAAGCAGGGAGGATAAAATACCCTTGAAAAAATTCATAGTGTAAGTCTAGTAATGTATCTACATATTACAGAGAAGGGTACCTTCTATTTCAGCATCTGTGACAAAAATCCCACACCTTGATCCAAAATGACAAACCTCTGTGGCCATTTCTAATGAAGCACCATGGAGGTTTAAAGTCGTTCCTAACATATCAGACACAGGACCGAGACTGTTAACAAAGCAACAAACCTGGAGATGGTGCATTTCCCTAAGACAGTGCCCCAGGTCACCTTTTTTTTTTTCCTTCTCAAAATTGCAAGGGAATAAAAAGTCACTGAAGCTTTGAGTTGAGACTTACAAAAAGGAAATTATTAACACGAAGACAAACAACTAAGCAAAAAAGCAAACCACATCTGTAAGAGTACAACTGACCTTGTAAATTAAGCTCTGAGAAATATAAAATAAAAAAGCAAAACAAAACCAAACCACCTAAAAAAAAAAAAAAATCAACCACCTTCTCACAGCAGGTTCTTGGAAAAAGTAACTTGCTGAACACTAGATAGCACCCCTGCACTTGAGTTCTTTCAGTGACTATTCAGGAGAAAATAAGCCTGATACAGGCTATGTATATGTATGTTTATTCTCTCATTCTGTGAGTAATAATGATGGGACTAGATTATCAAAGGGTTTTTAACTTCACCACTAAACTGGCTAAACAAGGCATGAATCATTGTCCCTTTGAGCATAAAAAAACCCCAAACAAAAAACCGCGTCGACTTGGAGAAGATACTTATCTTTGGATTAATGAAACAATATGTACCAGCAATGAGCAGCAGCACGTAGGTACCGGCTGCGAACTGGTTAATATTATAGATCTGCCGGAGGCAACTGACGAAGCAGAAAGGAACTGACTAAATCGCAGCATGACTTGGAGCTGACGTCAATGTGTATCTTGTTTGGAGTTTAACTTTTCCAGTTCCCTACTGCAACACGATTCCAGGAAATCTAATGACGTCAGCCTTTTGAACTCAATTAGCTGAGGAACAGACCATTTTACAGTGGAGGAGAAAACAAGCAGGCGTTACAATACTTAAAATTATTGTGCTCTCAAATTTGTTTGCGTTCAGCATTTCCTTTAATAATGAAAGCACAGGGCTTATTTACACTACTGAAACAATGCACGCCTTTCTCTTACAGCTATGCTTAAGCCTATTTTAGCTATCAAATCTGAAGTGTTTATTGCTAAACAAAAAAGCAGTGTCATTTTTACACGACAAAAAACAATTATAAACATAGTAATATATATGACTATCTCTTCACAGTAAAGAAGAATTTAAAAGACTGGTGGATTTTTCAGCAGAATCCTGCATCAAATAGTAAAGATCAGTTATCTAAATCAATCTGTGCAAGAACTCATGTACGAACAGGGATCTTTTTCCTCCCAGTGAAACTGTTAAAATTGCCCTGAAATCCAACACTGACCAGATGTAACCAGAAGCTATTTGTACCAGTTTTGAAAGATGAAAGACTTATAGCAACAGGTTCAAAAGAAAACATCAAAAATACCACCTAAGCACTGCTTAGGCATCCAAAAATATAATGTAAAAGACTAAGAAAATTTTTACCTGTTTCATCTCCTGTTACAGCCATGATCAGCTTCTGCACACTCGATTCTCCTGTGCCTCTACCACAGCTCAGCGTGAACTGTTCCAAACTAGCAAGCATGTGCAGGATTACAAGCAAGAGCACTGACATCACAGTGACCTCACTTGCTTACCACTGTCATTAATATGCTCTGTCACTGGAACAGCTCACCGAAACTGCAGCGCAAAGAACTCCTTTTCCAGTAAACCTTTTTTTCCCCCCCCCTTCCATATTTCTATAAGCCTAGCTTTGTTCTTTTTCCCTGAATTATTCATAAAGCTACAGAAAGCACTCACCACAAAAGCTGGCTGTAAAGCAAAACCTGAAAATTCACAGCACTAACTGACAGAAATTAAAACGTGGCTCTAGAATTCCTGAATGAATCTGAATGATAAAGTCATGATTGGATAGAAAATAGGGAAATTTTAAAAAGACGTGCAATTGTTTTGATTGGAGCAGTTCCACTAAAAGGCAGAGAACTCTGTCGGACAGACATGCAAGACAGGAAAGCTTAATAAGCTGTAACAAATAGATAAATGAAAGGCTAAAGCTCCTTGTTTTAGGGAAGAACCCACAACCCACTCATTTAATTTCAGTGAAAAGCTTCAGAAAAGACTGAAGAAAGCTCCAAAGTAAGACAGCCTAAAGCGAGTGATTTCAGATGCTGTAACAGGCAGAACAGTAACTGAGTAAGGGCTACCTCTCCTCCATTCCCTCTTTTTTCAAAATAAGTCTAAGAGATCTGGTTTACTTAGTTTAAAAAAAAATAAAAATCTCAGCTCTAACAGAGTTACTCATCATTTACATCAATTTAAATTAAATTAGTTTCAGACCAACAGTCTAGGCACTGGTCTGTATGTAGGGCACAGCAAACTTCTAAGGCCTTTGTCTGTAATAAACAAACACAGACTGGTAATTCGTCAACTGTGAAACTATGCCAAGGACAGCAATAATGGAAGCATCAATGCAAAAAAGGAGCGCCCTGTGATTACAGACCACTGCAGGATCATATGAGCAGAAGATCACAACTGAAGCACACAAGAAATTCAAGCCACAGATCTCAAATATCACTGCTGTTCATATCACCAACCGTATTATGAAAACATACATAGATCCCAACAGCATTATTTTTGATACAACTTTTCTACACTTATTTTCATGAATAATTAAACACTTTTTTTTGCTTCAGCTAGCAAAAAAACCCCTTAACCTGTATTAGGAAACTGTCAGGACATCAGAACTGCCTCTTATTTTGCCTATGAATGCAAACTTGTAGCAAATGAAGTATCACTCAGTTGGATCAACACCTTGGGTGCTTTTATACTAATCCTTTTTTCCCGTTATGGGTTATCAGAAAATATCAAGCACAGGGTTTATGTGATGCCATGCATTATTACATGAGATTCATCAACAAATACTTTAGAAGAAATATAAATACATATGCTATCTGAAAGATTCTTAAACACATCTCTTCTGCCCTAGGAATGATACACGTCTACCTGTCCTAGTTTTGCCTGGGACAGAGTTAACTTTCCTCCTAGTAGCTGGCATAGTGCTGTGTTTTGGATTTAGTACGAGAAGAATGCTGATAACTCACTGATGGTTTAGTTGTTGCTGAGCAGTGCTTACACCAGGCAAGGACTTTTCAGCTTCCCATGCTCTACCAGGTACACAAGAAGCTGGGAGGGGGCACAGCCAGGACAGCTGACCCCAACTGACCAAAGGGATATTTCACACCATAGGACGTCATGCTCAGTATTTAAACAGGGGGAGTTGGCTGGGGGGCAGCGATCGCTGCTCAGGACAGGCTGGGCATCGGTCAGCAGGTGGTGAGCGGTTGCATCACTTGTTTTTCCTGGGTTTTATCTCTCTTTCTCCCTTGTTTTCCTTTTCATTACAATTATTATTATATTTCAATTATTAAACTGTTTTTATCTCAACCCACAAGTCTTCTTACTTTTGCTCCTCTGATTGTCTCCCCCATCCCACCAGGGTGGGGGGACAGGGAAGGTGAGTGAGCAGCTGTCTGGTGCTTAGTTGCCGGCTGCGGGTAAACCACAACACTACCCAAGATCATTATGAAAACATATGTAAGCGGAAAGATTACTAAGCAGAATATTGCTTTCCTATTATAATCTGTGCTATCGTGACATTAGGTGAACACTCAACTACAAAGTGCACATAAATGACAAATGACAAACTATATTCCTGCAGACTTTCTAGCATAAGCAAGATGACCTGTAGTAAAGACATATTAGAGACTTGTATATCCAACTAATTCCACTGTCTCACTCCATGCTGAATAACTCAGGTTTGCTGACGATATGCAAGTATTATCATAAAGAGATCTATATTACCATGAACATCCTCAGGTGCTTTCATATTCTTTATATATACTTTTTTTTATTAAAGATTTTTTTTAATTTTCCAGCATCAACAGCGTGAATAGTAAGTTGAAACCTTTTATCTTCTCATCATCTCTGAGTTCATGCTCACTTACTATTCCCTTTGTATTTTTCCCTGTATATGCTATGTAGCATTTTTTTCTGTGTCAACAGCTATGAGCATCACTAAAGCACTGGAGTTTGTTTGGGCCGAAGGAACAGAAAATCCCAGGAAGTCAACATCTCTGAGCATAGCCAGAGAACAAATCAATTTAGTTAAAGTATCTAGAAGCTTCAAAAACAGGATGTAGCAGATATTCAGTAACTGTCTCTGAATCCATTCTGAAAGTTTTCATCACAAGCAAAACATTTAATGGACTACACCATCGAGTAGTTGAGCCCATCACTGGGACCGAATAGGGAGGTTAGAGGACAGCCCCACCAGAGGACAACCCTGTAATGAGAAGTCAGTAAAGGAAGGCCAGCCAAATGAAATTCCCAAGGACTGAAATGCTGCCAGATACAATCCCTAAGTTCTGTGCTTCTTCACAGACTGGGGAGGCTTTAGGAAACAACTGAGGAGCTACTCTGTCCTCCCACCCCAAAGCTCTGAAGAATCAAAGCTATACATCACAAAATACTACAGTCAACTTGGAGAGACAGAGAAGTCCTCTAATTCAAGGGATATGTATGCCCATGTACAGAAAACATACTAGACTCATACTCAGAAAACATGAAGTACCAGAGTGGGAAACCTGTTTGGAGCACAGCCAAATTTGGGTCTTAAGGCTTTGCTAAGAATGTATTCATAATGATATTTAGGGAAGTTGTAACAGTACTATCTGCATGACAAAAACTAACATTTTGGCCAGGGGGGGTTCATATTATAGTCTCAGAGCTTCCTTGAAATGCTTCTGAAAAGTCCTGGAACGACAATCTATTTCAGCAAAGAATTAACCAGAGGCAGTGGAAGAATTCAAATTTCATATCACTACTTAGCTTTGTTTCAACAAGTTCAGATATCTACAAGCTATTACCTTTATTTACATACTGGGCTTCCTTTATAGCAAAGTGAGAGAAACAGCCACTTTAAAGACAGAACTTGTTTCAAACATCCATATTAGGGCAAAAAAGACCACCTCAACCTGGACTTCACCAGCTATGTCAGATATCTGTGTATACATTTAGTTGATGACTCTCATCCACTCCATGAATACATATTTAATGTCTTCCTAGGTCTTCTCATAATTTATTTCAGACAGCTGTTTTGCCTTACGAAAGCATTTGTATAGCCCTCCCTCCCTACTTCTCTGTGGTGATCCAAGAAAAAAAAAATAGGGAAAATAAATTCCCTATATCCTCCATGACAGCCATTAATTTAGTGTCTCCATACAGAAATCTCTTCCCCGTTTTCAAAGGTTTTCCTCAGCATAAGCCAAGTCCCAACCCTACTTTATCTGGTATTAATAAGAATCCAAGATACCTTTGGTCCTCAATCTCCCTCAGCATTTCCAAAAGGCTGGGAGCAGTGGAAAGAAAAAAAAAATCCTGCATAAACTACAGTAAGGTTCAAGAAGTCACTATTCACAGGTGTGCATTTTATAGGACCTACAAAGTGTCCTTTCTAATAACTACGAGAGTCATAAGTTGCAAGGAAATTCTGCCCCAAACATATCCAAAGAACTTCAGAACTTTTGTTTTATTAAGATTGATTAACTGCTGAAAAAAACAAATTATTTTCATATATTAAATGAGAGGCACCTTCAGCATCTCATTTCAACCTGTAACAGCACCTTTACTGCAATTAAACATATCTCTCAAAGTCTGGACAAGATAATTCAAAGCAGAAAGTGATTTTATACTGTTATTTCCTCTTCGTAACTTTTTTAACCAAAAGAAGTAGCTGCCTTACTGAACAGAGAAACTGAGTTTCCTCCTCAGACTGTCTTTCATCTTGTTATACTTAAATATTTTATTTAACAGTGCAATAATATCAACACAAAATGTAAAGTCTTTTAAGAAAAGTTGGTCTATATGAAAAAAACTAAAATGCAGTAGACTAATAAAATATACCTTGAACAACAACTTGGCTTCCCGGAACAAAAAACTGTTGTGTGCCATCAGGTGATTGTCCTGCATATTGCACAATGGTAGCACCTGGCTGAGGAGCTCCTGAATTTGTCATTGTTAATGTCTGTAGTCCATGGACACCATCAGAGGACGGATTAGAAATCTGGATTGCACCACCTTGAGTTATAGTAACTAAACATAAAAAAAAAAAAAGATAAGTTAGGCAACAGAAAGAGATATAACACACGTTAAAAGGCACACCTCCCTCTTTAAAATAAACATTGTCTGATAGGAGTCCTGGTTGTCTCCTTGCTTACAGATTAATTGCACAGTAAAACTTAAATAATGTTAATACTGATTTCCACAAATATAAAGCCTGTTGTGTAGTACATGCCATATGTATCATAGAATCATAGAATGTTTTGGGTTGGAAGGGATCCCTAGAGGTCATCTAGTCCAACCCCCCTGCAGGAGCAGGGACACCGCTAACTAGATCAGGTTGCTCAGAGCCCCATCCAACCTGGCCTATGTATAACAGACAAAAAGCAGTGTTTCACACATTTTATCTCTACATATCCAGAAATATTAACTCTCCCAAAATACAAGAAAAAATAGTAGCTCCTAGGCATAGAGAACCATTGTCGTTGTAAAAAGTAACGTAAAAAAGCTATTTGAAAAAAGTAAGAAAAAGCTGTGTTTATCAATTCCCACAAAACAAAACCCAGGACATGTAGACAAAGGAAGAGCAAGTCTTCTGACACTCACAATCCTTTCCTTAGTGTGAGAGAAAGTCTAGCCTAACAATGTTTTACCAAGTTGTAAAAACTGTAAGGAGTGCAATACTTATGTAAAAAGAGAAACAGAACAAAGGCGTTCCGCCCCTCCCCCCCCCCTGTAATCAACAACATGAAAAATACATTTTCCCCATTAAAAAATTCATAGTGTTGCTCACCATAATTAAATATTTAGACAAAAAACAAATTTCCTAGAGAGGTTATCAATTCTATATTATTTTTGAAATTAGCACTGTCTTTGTTAAGAGCAGAAATATCATAGAATCATTGAATGGTTTGGATTGGAAGGGACCTTAAAGATCATTTCTTTCCAACCCCTGCCATGGGCAGGGACACCTTCCACTAGATCAGGCTGCTCAAAGCCCCATCCAACCTGCCCTTGAATGTAGAGGGGTTTCTTGAACAACAGGGCCACAAAGTATTGTGGGAATACGTGGACAATCCAGGTTCTGTAAACAGCGTGTCCTTGGTACACTGAAACAAGCAAGAAGCTATGAGCTAAAGCAAAAATGTGCTGACCACAAGTAGAAACTAAGATAGCTGTGTTCTTTGTTTTATATATCCAATCAGTACTTGAGAATAAGCGCGTGGACAGTAAATCTTAAACCAATGAAAAGTATTACAGGTGCCATCACTGTCTGAGGAGAAGCGCGCGGACAGCTAATTGTTAAGCATTTGTAACCAAGCAGTGAATAGTGTACGCGTGGCGCGGAAGCACTAAGACTATATTAACCATGTTGTAAGCACAATAAATCGGCATTTGCTTGATCATATTGATCGTGTGCAGTGTCCGTGACTTCCGCGTCAACACTTGAACACTACCACCTCTCTGGACAAGCTATTCTAGCGCCTCACCACCCTCATGGTAAAGTATTTCTTCCTAATATCTAATTTAAATCTACCCTCTTTTGGTTTAAAACCATTATCCCTCATCCTATCACTACACCCCCCAAGAGTCCCTCTCCATCTTTCCTGTAGGCCCCCTTTAAGTACTGGAAGGCTGCTATAAGGTCTCCCTAGAATCTTATCTTCTCTAGGCTAAACAGCCCCAACTCTCTCAGCCTGTCCTCTTAGGAAAGGTGCTCCAGCACCTGATCATCTTCATGGCCTTTCTCTGGACCCACTTGAGTAGGTCCATGTCTGTTTTATGCTGGGGACCCCAGAGCTGGCACACAGTACTCCAGATGGGGTCTCACAAGAGCTGAGTAGAAGGACAACATCACCTCCCTTGACCTGCTGGGCACATTTCTTTTCATGCAGCAGCCCTGGATGCAATTGGCTTTCTGGGCTGCTAGCACACATTGCTGTCTCATATTCAGTTTTTCATCCACCAGTACGATGAAGTGCTTCTCCACAGGGCTGCTCTCAATCCAGTCATCAGCCAGCTTTCATCCATGTTTGGGATTGCCCTGACCCAGGAGCAGGACCTTGCATTTGTTCCTGTTGAACTTCATGAGGTTTGCACGGGCCCACCTCTCAAGCCTGACAAGGTCTTTCTGGATGGCATCCTTTCTCTCTAGAGTATCAACTACACCATTCAGCTTGGTGTCATCTGCAAACTTTCTGAGGGTGCACTCAATCGCATTGTCCACGTCCCCAACAAAGATGTTAAATAATACTGGTCCCAATGCAGACCCCTGAGGGACACCACTCATCACTGGTGTCTAACCCAGACATCAAGATGTCGACCGTAACTCTGAGTGTGACCACCCAGACAATTCCTTATCCACCAAGTGGTCCACCCATCAAATACATCTCTTGTGTTAATTAAAATACCCATGGAACTTTTAGATGAGAACCCAATTACCAAGAAGTAACAAACTTCTTTCTCCCCCAAAAGATATCTAAACTACAATCACTGTCATTGTATTTAAAGTGGTCTGAAATGGTACAGAAGTCACATGTAAGTACAGATTCCAGAGTGCAAACTCCTTTGATTTCACTGTCAGATTCGCAGTATTTGATTACATTCTTGAAGGTTCAGATCTGTTTATCTGAGTACATGATTTGTTAGACACCCATGTGAGTTTTGAGACAGTTGATTTAAAATGTTCTGTGTCGATAATAGTAGGTTATATTGAAAGGGCAACATCAGATAATAGCACTTCAAAGATCTTATTAGTAAAATGTTATTAGTAAATTAGGCAATAGTAACTATCTAATAGAAACTCAGCTAAATTTTATAAGTATGTAGTAGAGTTATCTACCAAAATGGCCAAATCCCAGAAGCTAAATTAGCTTCTTTTGGGGGAAAATGGGGAATTCCTCTCAAGCCCTATCTAAAACAGGGTTCAGCATGGACTTCCCTTGGAATGGGGAACATGTAATGTAGGAACTAGATGGGTGCACAAGGGCTCCACACATAAGGCATTGTGGGAGCGGGGGGTTGAAATAAATGAGCAAGATATTTCAGTCTGGCCTCCAAAGCAGAGTGTCCCATTTTGGGGCACAGTGGGAGAAGCAAGAAAAATAAACCATTGTCTCCTCTACTCTTCATGAGATCCAGGACAAGAGCAGGCTCCTGGCAGCATGTGAGCTTCCCAGCAGGACTTGTCGCCTCTACCTCCCAGAAGTTACACACAGCTGAATTCTGCCTCTCTCAGAGTTACCACCATCACAGTACCGTACCCCATAAAAACCAGTCAGTTTGGGTTCCTGAGCAGTAAAACATCAGCACATAATCATACAAAGTTCTTAGCTCCACAGTGAGCCTGGGTAAACAATTATGTCACAGCTGTTCTGCAATTATTCATTCAGATCACAATCCAGTCCTTTCTAAACGAGAGTGAATTAACTCCAGTAACTCCTTCCCTTACAGGATTGATTCCTGCCATGTTACCAGGACACCACACTGCGCCCACCCCATTCACTGTCCTGATCTCAACTGCTGTACAGACCTTTGTTGTGCTGGAGCTCTACTGAAACTTGGGCCTTCTAGGAAGAATATAGGACTTTCCCGAACAGTCCCTGGAGTCGTACATCATGCAGGTGGATATAAGTAGCATCTTCTCTTCTAGCTAGGACTGAATACGATACTAATTCCATCCCCTGAGTATGACCAACAGCTCTAATCCAGAAAAATCAGATCTTGCCCTCCCTTGTGAAACTGTGAAAGGCAACTGAAGTTGGTCTTTCCCAAAAGATTTCTTAATTCCCAATTGTTAAAAACCTGTCCTAAGACAGCAAGCAATCCAAACAGATGGCAAAAGAACTAGTAAACTTCACTGCCCCTGCATCGTTTCAGACAGAACATCATGATACGCACAGGTAGGTGGTGTGGGGGGGGCAGTTGATTCATACACTCCAACTGAACAAACAACTCTTGCACAGCTAGACCACCACCACAGGTGAGGCAAACCATTTTTTTTTCAGTATTCAGTAACCAACATGACAGAAATGCAGCTGTCAGAGAAGGTTTGTAGTCAGATCAGGCTGCAAGGCTCATACACAAGAGACCGCCTTATGCAAAACTAACCATTCCCCTTAAAAAAGATAAAACACATGTTGATGGAGGTAACTGGGAAAGACATTTTATCTAGCTGGTCATGCCTGTCAGCCTGTTTGCTTCCATAAGCCAAAGCCAAGAAGCTCTGAGGAAAAAGATACTTGGAAACCATGGCAACATACCATTTTGGTTGGTAAAATGAACACAAAGAACAGCCATCACTGCTGCTAGTAGAAAAAAATATATTTGTTTTTCAGAAAAATTTACTTATCAAGTTCTTTCAGAAATAGTCATCCCAGACATCCAGACACCAACATATAGTCAAAATTATCTTTTCAACTAAATTGCCCTTCCTGTGCAGGAATAGAGAGAACAGTAGAGAACACAGGAATCAGAAAATGTAGTAACATGGTATCTGTTTTAAACCAGGGCACAGTATAGATGGCTGTAGTGACACTGCAAGACCATTTCTTCATTGCCATAGACACTGTACCAGCTTTATGCATAAGCTGCTGGATGCCTGCACAAGAGAACCCACGCAACCAACGGTGGCTGAGAAAAGAAGAGTACTCAGATGCAATAATGACAAGCAGAAGTAGAGCGCTATTGACAGGAGACGTAAAGGTAAAATAGCTACATGTAGTGACCTTCTACATCACATCCAGACTCAGATCAACACAGGAGATGCTGCATTCCTACATAGCGTTCCCAGTTTTAGCTGACAGCAGTTCCTGAGGATCACAGGCAGCCAAAAGGGTGGCTGCTCAGAAACGCTCCAGACCTGTGCCTTGTAAATGCAAGGACTAGAAGTAAACAGTCAAGCTCTCTTTGGTAAATTCCAAATTAAGACCCCCCTCTACTACAAGGAGATGACCATTCTTGCCACCAGACTTAACTTGAAATCTAACTTTTTTGGCAAGCAATATCGTTAAGGTAATGACCAGCAACCTAAGAAAGATTTTGATGCAATTTTTCCTAGCCAGCATTAGAGAGAACACACAGACTTCACTGCAGCAAAAGATGTGTGATATTTTAACTTACAAAGTCTAACTTAAAAAAAAAATTCAAATTAATGAACTAATAAATTGGGTAAGAACAACTTTGAGCCAGAATCAGGAGAGCCTATGAAGGATGACATTGCATCCTGAAGCAATGACTCATTATGGCTGAGAACCTACTTAAAGTAATTTAAATATATAGCACGTGTTTATTCAAAGAAAAAGCAACACAAAAAAGAAATCTTCTATGCTTGCCTCATGCAAAAGCCAGGTTTAAATTAAGATTTAATTAAAGTTTTGTGGACTCTCTCAATTCAAGCACATTGTTGGTGATGCTCTCTGTTGTTTGATTTTTCAGAAGTAAATGTTTGACTGAACAAGAAAGCAAAACCTGTGAATTTCATTATTCTTTTATACACTTCCCTGTCACTGTGATTTATAGCTACATTCAAATTAAAACATCCTCAATTAAGAAGTAAGAATCACCTCCTGCAAGACATTGTGAATAAAAGTACAACTCCGGTTTCCTAGAGGAATATATAATTAAGAAACCTATACTCCTAATTTCTTAGAAATCCTAAACATTTGGAGGCTCACTAGAATATAGTACAGAAACTATGGCACTTCTTTTTAAGCCCGGAAACTGGCTTTTTTTTTTAAAAACGAAACCTAAGCCAAACCAAAAATATAATTCAAAAATTGAAGAAAATAATTTAATTTGGTCAACGATACATGCCAGATTCTGTACTGGATGTCATTTAGCATGACCACGGGTCCACAGAATAGAGCCCTTCAGATGCCGGACATCATGAAGCAGACATTTCTTTATGTCTATACCTTATAGAAAGGGTAAGAAAAGCCAAAGAAAAATTACGTTCTATGCTAAGGGGTAGATAATATTACAGGAAATGCTGCTTTCTCAGAGCTGATAATTACTTTAGTTGCATAAATTAGAAATAACTGAGGAATTCTAAGGGTGACTAGAATACAATTAGAGAGCGATTCTATCCTCTTTTGTTTGCCATTGCAATGTTTTAATAGACTTCCTCTGTTCTCTTGTTCCAGGAAAAAAATGCCACAACTTTTCTTTTGCAGTTTTCCTGTGATTGCAAAGGAAAAATACCTGCATTCCAGTGTGGCTACCCATGAAAAGATGTGAAAAAAAGATAACTGTAGAAGTGAAGCTTTATCCAATAAATAATTGAAAAAAAGAGTTATTAGAAAGTTATTCCTTAGATTATACATGATTAAGCTGAAAGCTATATGGGGAGCAGGTTACACAACATTTTTAACATAAATGCAGGGATAAATAAATAAGTAAGTAAAATCTATATAACAGAACTGTGAATTTAACTTTTAACCTGTGTTTGGATGAAGTATCAAATGTTGGAGACCTCAATTTAGGTTAATTCTGCAGCTAAAGTGATCATACTTGACAACTGGAGAGGAAGAGACATAGTTCTTTGAAGAAAGAAAATTCAAAGTTAAGAAATAATCTCACACTCCAACCTTACACTTTAAAGTCTAACTCACTAATTGTCATTTCATGTAAAGAATAGCGCTAATACATAGCAAATCACAGTAATTTGAAACTGCAATGCTTTGCAACACTAAATATTCACATAAAGGTGTGAACATTTTCTGTTTCACCTGAGCCTCACCTCCACATAAGAGTTCTAGAAGGACTAAATCTAGCAACCAACAACCATTACAAGAAACAGACTGAAAGTCTATAATGCCCATGTTAGGAAAAATTAAATATAAAAATTGAAATTATTTAGGAAATTATTTAGGAAATACAGAAGCTCTCATTCTTCACCAAAATCCAACACCTCTACTTCATTATGGAACCCTCAGAAACAAAGTTGTTCCTATGTACGTTCTACATCATCACACAGTTATCTTTGCAAACATACTGTATTGCCCTGTGTTAGTATGATACAGGCTGGTTGGCATGGCCATTGCAGAAATTCCAGAAGGCGCTCCTTCATCTTCTGACTTTTCTTCTTCTTCAATCTTTGGTACTGCAGGAACATCTGATGTTAGTTCATTCAAAATTTTTCTAAAAAAAAAAAGAAAAAAAAAAGTAAATAATTTTATATATTTGAAATTCCATATCCATGAGAAAACCAAGTCACTGGCTTTTATCAGACGGTTTTGCTATAATATATACACTGCCTTTAAAAACCAGCAAAACCAAAATAGAAGTTTCTTACCGGTATGAAGGCCGCCTTGAAAGTATTTCCCTACGTTTTTGAGAATCAATTATCCCTTCTGATTCTGCAGATTCATCTGCAATCGATGCTACCTGTAATAGCAAAGTTTCCAAAATTCATAACGTCATAAAAAAAGATAGCAACAGAGTAAAAGATTATTTTAAAAAATTCCTTCCATGTTTGCATACAGGAAGTTTATGCACTTATTTATCACTAATCATGTGATCTTAGACTTCTTTTTCCAAAGCAAATTGCAATTATGAGGTTAGCAACACATAGCCACTTAGATGACATCTTCCATTCAATAAAGGAGAAAAAAAAAAAAAATCAAAATAATCCAGGTTACTTTTTTGTGAATGACACCTAGAAAAAGTACTGAAGACAGAAGATTTCTGTAAATATAAAAATATTATACAATTTAATTAGCTTTTAATGTGAAAACAAACATTTAAAATACAGAATACTGCACTAATGCACCTTAAATAACAGTATACAAAAGCCTTTTCACAAACACACCAAAGCTATTTAGAAAATAAATTTATTTAAATGTACATATTCATTACACTTATACCAACACATATTCATAAATACAAATACATTGCTTGGCAATACTGCGTGAGTTTTAGCAATGCCTGACAAGTCCACAATGTCTCATTTTCTCAGACTTTTATTAGTAGTATTTTCATAGGTTCTTTTTCTCTTAAAATTACCCAGTATGACATTAAGGTCTGAAGCTGAATCACACTCTTTACCAGCAACTATCTTATTATACAGAACTGAAAGTGCTTAGTGAACAAGGAAAACATGCTATTTTCTTGATTCATTCAACTACTCAGAGCTACTGGTGTGTAAGATCTCCAAACTTAAACAGTGCAGTAAAGTTAGTGAGGAAAACGACCTTTTCACATAAAGACAGAGCAGACTGCCATTTCCGACCAAGTGCTGTGTTAAGCTAACACTGAACAAACATAAGTCAAGTGACTAGAAGGCTCAAGTGTTTGACCTGGGTGCAGTGGAGGCTTCCCTGCAGCTCAGGGAAGACAAGGAAGAGCTCTAGAACTGATGTGGCTGCCAGGCCCGAGTGCTTAGTGCTAGAAACAAAACCTGCTTGACCTCAACAGAAAATGACTGTCTGGAAGGTTCTGGAAATTTATAGGCCTATGTCACCCCAACTCAAGTCTATAAAACTACACCTTAGAAGAGCTACAGGCTATTGCAGAATGAAATAATCTCTTTGCTTCTTAATTTTATTACATTCCAGTTCTGTGTAAAAATATTTAATGTAGCCTCATTTTGCTGGGTAATATGTAGGAAACATCATTAAAACTCTAGCTGCCTAATGAAAAAAAAAAAAAAGACCACCTAGAAATAATGAGAGGTATTTCTGCATGTCTACAGCTGTATAGCTCCACACCAGACTTCAGAGTTGACTGGCAGAGATAGAAGAGCTTCAAGAATTTTGCATTGATCCTTTTGCAGGATGGACCCATGCTGACCAGCAAAGAGATCTTCTGAAAGGCATTTTTCTCCAGTGCCCTCCAGCAACCTGCTTGTGGATTGACCTTCAAGCCTCCAGCATACATCTTCAGAACTAAGGCATTATTACACAGCTGAGAGCCTGGGCATCCTATCTCAAAACAGAACTCTCATTCTGCGGGGGCAGGAGGGGAAATATGTTTGTCCCAGGACAAACAGCAGGAAAACAAGACCTTAGTGCCTTTAAACCTTCCCATTCCACTAAGGGTTACCAGTAGCCATCCCTAGTTTGTGAAGATGGCCAAAGAAGCCAGCAACAGTCATACTTCGGGAAGAAGGTAAGGAAATCACAAGATGATTTAAGCATTTTAATGTGGAAAAGGACATTTTACGGAAGAAATTTCAGAAGTTCTAATTTTCATCAAGACAGATAAATGTAGCATTTCAATTTGTTCTAATAGTAAGCAACTGAGTTCACAACGCTAACCAATGGAAAACATTGCCATTTTTTCTTGGACATCATTCAGACTTCAACTTTACCACACTACCCTCCATTTGAACAAATTTAACTTTGAGCTTATGTTAGTCTGCCAATACCCAATATATTACAGGGGTGAGCAAGTAGAAAAGACAAATAATCTGAACTTCAAACCTTCCTATATGTAAAACAACATTAACAAAACAGTGAGGAACATGATACAGATAAGCATATTTTCATCCTAAAAGCAACAGCATTATAAGAAAAAAATTTTGAACACTTCCTGGTTTAAAGCTGCAGGTGTTTGAGGGAAAGGTCATGCAAGCTTTAACATCAACCTTCAACACTTCTTTTTTTTCTAAATTAAACTAATATAATTTCCTAAGTTCCCCACTGTCTGGCAGACATAGGATATCAAGTTAAAGCCACATGATCTGGAGGAAATGCCAGGTGGCAGGATAAAGTACTTAAGAGGATCACAGAAGGACTGAACAGCCTCTGTAATGGAGTAATTTACAGCATCTTCAAGCCCTTCTTGTACAGTCACCTTGTTTGCCATTAGCATGTTCAAATGCAACCAAAGCAAAACCCTGGAACTAACTAGTCAGTAATAATCAGGACACAGGTTTCCTGTCTCTACTCCTTAGGGAAAACAGCCAGAGTTCACTCAATGCAACAAATAGTCAACTTCCACTCCCCTAAGAAGACACAGCAGCAGCTGGAAGGGGATTCCAGAGAAATTCCTCCTTCTGAGCTTTGGAGCAAGTCCTCTATTTTTGCACATACATCCTGACTATACTGACTTGAACAAAAGCAGTGACAGAAACTGGGAATGGCTGTATTATGCTTCTTAGAAAGAATTCCATTAAAATAAAGTATTTATTTTGAATACTCCGATTTGACTTCAAGTTTGGTCCAAACCCAAGTCTCTTGCCATCTACTGCACCTGTTTCAGTAGTGTTCTGGAATTGCAAAACCTTACCATGTCCCATGATCTGCACCTACTGCTTACAAATAAAATATTCAGTATCCAGCCATCTTTTTCTCTAATCTCTAAGATAAGTCACACTTACACGTGCCTTTTTATTTATTATATTTGAAAGCTACTAAGCACTCTCAAACATTAAAGGCAGCTTCTCAAGAGGACTGACAATGCTTGTGTCTTCCTTAATGCATTGCAAGGACTGCTGGTAAAACAGTTCACACATAACAGGTGTACAGCCTCTCTTACCAGACCTATCAATTCTATTTGCAAAAAGCCATTCAGCTGATGTTTCACAATCAGATTTTAAGAAAACTAGAACAAAGGCATTCCTAGCTACAAGAAAAACACCAAGGGGAAGCCATTTTCAAAACACTGCAAGTTCATTTTCTCTTGTCTTTTTCACTATTTAAAAGCTCTGAAAACTCTTACACATTTTGCACCAGTCCCCAATTTCTAATGTCAGCAACTTTAAACATGTGAAGTTTTGCCAAATAAATGTTTCATTTGAGGCTGCCCTTATTTTTGGTCTTTACATATCCACACCCACAAAAAGCAATACCAGATGCTCTAACAGGGCCTGCTAAAAATGACAAGGAATCATTTGACTATAATACATTTACTTCTATTACATTCAGATGCTCTCCAAAAATACAGTATGAGATACTTGGAAACGTATGAGTTCATAGTCTTGTTAGAAAAATGATGTGCATAGAATTTAACAAAACAGAAAAATTGCAAGATACACTGAAATAAGGCCACATTGCTACACAAATTTGCTGTTGCATAAGTTCAGGGTTCCAAGACACAATTTCTTAAAAGATAAACAGGAAGCATTAAGGAGTCGCTACACAATACTTGTATTGCTGCTAGTGGTTGGCTGTTTGCCACCTTCTCCCCCGCCATTTCCCGCACCATATGAGTAAGTCTTGCAATACTGGTAGGAATGAAGAGAAACTGAAGATGGGGTTGGAGGAAGAGTTATGAAGCACCAAATATTCATGAAAATGTAACAATAAAAGAGCTAACCTGAACAGCTTGCATGTGTGGTGACTGAATGACTGAGGGCTGTGTGGCTTGAATGACACCCTGGACATGAACAGTTTGACCAGAAGGCAACTGCACTAGAGTTACAGCTGGAGATCCTCTTCCAGCACTTGATGCAGCTACAGAAACCTGCAAAAATTACAATCATCATGTTTAAGTAACAAGCCTTAAGACTTCAGCAAATGCTTTTTTAGAAGTGATACTGAAACTGGTTTTGATGCCATATCTAAAATAGCTTAGATGCGTGTTAATTATCACACACAGAAATAAACTAGTTTTACTAGTAAAAGTTGGCGTGTATCTTTCCAAATGGTATGGAAAGCTTAAAAATGTACCCTAACAATTTTCAAATCTTTCTCTTTTTTTTTTTACCTCCAGAGACTTCATGATTCCTTTTCACTTAAAAACAACCCTAAGCTATCACACGCTAAATCTGCTGTCGCTAGCATGAAGGTTAGGAAGAACCTCAAGAAATGTAACAAAAAATATCAATATTCACTGAAGTGGCATGTTGCTACAACAACATACAGAACACGTTCTTAGTCAAGAAAAAAAAAAAATTAAAATAAATCCAGAACTGCTTTGGTTTTGCTTTACTTGTTAGGCAAGAAGTTGTGCTTTTCAGATAAAGGTCTCAAGAGACACAAGAACTTTTCAAATGGCAAAAAAAAAACCTGATAAAGAACTACTTGGATTTTTAATCTGACTTAGTTTAATAAATTCTCTTTATACATATCTATTTATATATCAAGAAAAACAGAGTTGGAGTTTATCAGTGCTTTGATACAACAATAAAAATAAAGAACAGCTGAATCTTCTTTAAGCCTAGCACAGCTGAAGAAAGGGTTCTGGTTAGGAATAATCTGATCCCTTTTTCTGATGACAATTTGGAGCACACACAGCTTTCCCCAGCCCTTGGCTCTCAACCATCAATACTGAGGATGAATGAGCTAAGAAACAGTTAAACACCTAGGGGCTAAAAAGTAGTTTCATATTTATGCTATTACTGTTAAGTCTATTAACAGAAACAAATACTGAAGCAAAGGGAAAACACTATGACTGATCTCAAGTTCTGTGTGATGAAACATCTCTAAACTCAGAAAAGGAAGAAAATGACAAACATAAATCATAGGATAAAAAGAGATATTGTGGTTTTCAAAGTAAACTGCATTGAAAAACCTTATTTCTATATTCTGCACGTACAAGAATAAATTCAGAGTCACATCTAAAATTCTGGTATTATTCGCTTCCTAGCTTTCTCAGCCCCAAAAGGTATCTAGTATGAGCAGTAAAGGTAAAAAGAGATGACAGTGAGAAGAAAAACATGATGAATACTGAATATTTTTCTTAAAAAAAGTGTTAAAGAAAGTTTTGTATTTTTCTGTATTCACACTGAAGGGTTTTTTTAAATTCCAAATATTAAAGCAGCTTTCATTCCTGATCCATATGCCATTGTTTGCCTGGGACGCATTCTTTTCTTGAAGCAAGAAAAAAAATTTAACTACTACTAAGATGCACTACTATCAAAAAGACCAGATGTTGGCTCTAATTATCTTGAAGAAACAATGTTTCTAGGAAACAGAAACAGGATCTTGTCAACATTCACTATGTAATTGTTCAATTGTTATAGGCAACTGACCCGCTTTTCAGGAAATAGAACAATTCAGGGCATTTCTAACCCCAAAATGGAAACAATCATTCCTTAAATGGTATTAAATAGCAACATGTAAATAGGACGTACAAACCTTCTACCCAATCTATAAAACAAATATTATCAGAGATTTATCAGACGGAGATATTTGAGACTGAGATCTAGAAAGTCTCAAAGGTCTGAAGAGTATGGTCTATTTTGTGTCAAAGCTGACACCATCCTAAACCCAAGCTTCAAGGAAAGAGCATGGAGCACTCTAAACACAACATGCTAACTTTTCAAAACATTACAAAAGCAATTTCACCAAACCTTTTGATTTACTGCTCTCTCTGCAAGAGCTGCAACCTGATACAATATTCTGTGTATCAGAAAGAACTTTCTAAGTACAACACACACAAAAACAGTACAAGGTGAACAGTTTTTGAGTTTCTTTTTAGTACACAATGGGTCAGGCACACATAACCAGGAAGTAATCCAGTACTCAAGATTAAGAAACACTACATTCACTTCAAAGCTCCTTATTCAATATAACCACACAAGAAAAAAGGAAAACCACACTCAGTTTATACCCTTTTAGACTACAGTTTACAATATCACAGGAGAAATAGTTTTATTCCCATTCATTCAGGTAAGAGATTAAATGGGGGGCTAGGGTTTACGGATGAGAAGAACAAAGTATTTTAAAACTGGATCAAACCAAAAGTGATTTGTTTGTTCATTTATACCTACTTTAAACAGCTCAATTGGATTTGATCACTGCTTGCTGAGTTTCCACAAATACCCAAAAGTCACACAGTGTGTAACCTACAAACTTTACTTTGAAACATCTGTGATTCTTTCATATTAGGTTCGCTTTCTGTAACTAAGACAGAAAAAAAATATATTTCCAACTTAATATTCTGCATCTCTTTCATAAATATTATAAATTATTAAACCAAAACAATTTCGATTCACATTTCCCTTTGCTTTGTTTTCAAATTGAATATTCCCATGTTAACCGAAATATTAGAATCTTTTGACATTATCATGTATAAATGCTGACTGAAACAGACCTGGCAAAAAAATTATTTTCTGACATCAGTGATGAGCAATGCTGCCTTTAACACCATTACTTCAAGGGCTGTCTGGCACAGTGACTGAAAGCAATCCACTGAAGGAACTCAGGAACACAAAGCGTGAGAGGGGAAGCTTAACACATTAAGCACCTGGTTTAACAGTGTAAGGGTTATGTCCCTGGCAACGGCAGAGACTTCAGATGTTGTCGTGTCCTTTTAGGTTCTATCCTCTTAGGTATGCAGCAGTCAAATCTAATAGCTTCAACAAGTATCAACCATGCATCCCGTCATAGCAGTATGGGCTCATACTTCATATGTCTGGAAATATAAGTGCTCCCTCTTCCAAGAGGGGAGAGAAAAGCAGCCAGCAAAAAAGACCATGAAGGATCTTCATACGCATTCTTCCAAAGATATTACTCATCAGTTAGCTGACTTCAGGATGCATCGTCCATCTGAACAGTTATACTGTGGATGTACGCACTCTTGCCACCCAAGGTCAGATAACTTGTCCCTACGGAGTACTAACAGTTTATGTTCACATTCAACCCCTCATAGCTCAAACGTTGCTGATATGAAGTATGCAGTGCACAGCTCCATCTGCTTTATGTCCCTGCTGTAGAATCTAAACACTACAAGGACTCCAGAAGTAAAGTGAAAAGTACTTCTGGAAAAGACAATGGAAACCCATCCTGGAATCACCTAATAAAAGAACAAAGGACTCTCCACATTCAGGCACTGAGTAGCCTCTATGACGAAAAGCTGAAGACAGGGAAGTTTTGGTCAATTCCAAAGCTAATGCCAAAAAAAGCAGCACATAGTTTTAAGGGAGACAAGGTTAGGCTGATTTCAGCCATTTGGTGACAAGCATACCCTTGAGGAAGCACAAAATTGCGTCAAGGCTGCAGGTTTATAATGCTCTAAACATCAGTTTTGCTAAATGTCCTGGACTTGCATTTAGAAGGCTGGTTTTAAAGCCATATTTACACAGCCTGGCAAACTTCTACAGGGCTCAATCTGTTGGGAGCAAGATTTAACACGAAGTTCGATGCCGAAAGCCCACAAGGAGAATACCCCTTCAGTGTTAAACCTGAGCAGGCCCAGCTTGCAATGGCTATGCACACCAGGTTCTGGAAACTCCCTCTGCTCTCTCGGACAGCAGTTCTCACATTGTAAATCCTGACCCATGTCTAGTTCAGGGCCAGCAACAAGAGGTCAACAGATGGTATCTCAGACCAAGACAGCAGACAGCTCTACTGATAAAATATGACAACGTTTACATAAAGTGATTCAAAGAATCACATCAAGGATGTAGGATTAAAGGGAAAAAAAAAAAAAAAAACCAACACCCAAACCACAACTGAAAGTATTTTTGTCAATTCTGAGAAAGGTCTAAGTACATTGCTCTTACATTTTTTGAGTTATATTTAGTGTAGCTGAGCAGAGGGCAACACAGGATGCACAGACGGCCTCTAGAAATCCTGCAAAAGGAACATCTAATTTCTCTTTGAATACCATGCAAATCTAATTGTTCCAAGGTACAAGTTTGACTATCATCAACATTATCAGAATATTTCAATCCAAGTTAAATTCCTTTTAAGAACAGCCCTATACATATTAATATAAGATCTGTGCATGTGGGACAGAACCCACAGAGTCCATTCTCAAAACAGGTTGAGAAATTTTCCACCTTGCACCTTTGTTCTTCCCTGAAGAAAAGGTGTCAAGCTTCTGTACAGGTGCTCTGTACACTTCCAACAGCTTCTAAAGACAACCACCAAAATTTTTACAAATTAGTATTTTCTTACCTACTTCTTTTCGTGGCTGGATCACCAAAACAATGCCGTGTCTATTCATTAACTGGCTTAAGGTGAGAGATGCAAGAAATTTAGCTACAAATGTGATCTTATTCTACATTAATTAATTTTCTTTAAAAAAAAACCCTTTAAAGACAGAAAATGTCAATTTTGTCTCAATAAATGAAAGATGCATCTCATTTTTGCTAGTTTCTAATTTACTAATTTTTGCTTTTGCAGAAGAAGTAATTTTAGTTTCATCACCAAAAAATTGCAGGAGTATATAGCAGTATCTATTACAAAAACTATGGAGAAAAAAACCCAGAACAACAACACACTATCTTTTCTCTACTAATAATAGGTCACCCTTAGCATTGGAGGTTATCTCATCCCTCCGTTGTGCTCCAGCCCAGACGTTCTTAATGTCTCCCTTCTCTCCCTCCCAAGAGGGAAGACATTAAGAATGCTTCAGCACAAAACATTGTCTGACCTCTAGAGATTATCACCTCATTGAATACCCTGTCTGCCTTTTAAAGACCAAATGGCAGGTGTTTCTTTAAAAGCCTGAACTCCAAAGGAGAGGAAAAACATGCCCACAAACAAAAACCCTCACAAAACTCCTACCTCCTATGCAGTTGTATCCCCCAGCATTTTGCTAGTAGTTGTCTGGCCAAAGTCTCAATTAAACAAAAAAATGAGTCAATTAAAAAACCATGAAATTCCATGAAATCTGAACGTAAAAAACACCACCTTACTTACTATGAGGGCACTCCAGTACCGGCACAGGTGCTCAGAGAGGTTGTGGAGACTCCATTCTTGGAGATATTCACAACCCCACTGGACGCGGTCCCGGGCAACCTGCCCTGGCTGACCCTGCTTGCGCAGGTGGGTTGACCTAGATGATCTCAAGAGGTCCCTGACAACCTCACCTGTTCTGTGATTCTTTGATAATACACAGAAAACTACAAACTGAGTATTAAAAGATAGTGTATTGAAATGCTTTACTTCTGACTGAACAAAACCAAGGTATGAACAAAAAACCCAGAGATGGCTAAAAAGAAGCCCTCAGTTTCAGTTACCAGGCATTTTACCTGTCAGTAAGAGCCAAGTAATTCTTTTCTCCTATTTCTGCACATTTGCAAGAAAACTAGTAGGAGAGATGACTGGAAGCTGGCGCAAGGTACATTTCAGTTACTTTAAGCGGTTGCGTTCTCTTAACTGCACTCCTCCAGGGGCCGAAGAGGGAGAAGGAGCTGTCTGTGCCCTTCTATAACAGTCAAAATACACAGACGCCAGACCAGCGGCACAGCCACGAATTCCTCAGGAACACCCCGAATTTCCCATCCCATGCCAGCAAAAGCAGAGGGAGATGTCGCACGGGAGGTCCCTGCCTGGCGCAGGGGTTAACCTCTCAACGTCCATCACTAACCCTCACCATGACAAAGCGCCTCACCTTCAGAGCCTGCCAGGCAGGCACATAGGGCAAGAAAGCCCTCCTCATTTTAAGCGCCACCACAAGGCCTTTCGGCGATAAGCTTGCCGGCAGGGCCCGCTTTACCA